CCCTCGCCGCCTGCCGAGGGGGAAGCACTGGGGGCACCCGGGAACCCTCGCAGGGGGACGTGGCACGAAGCAGCAGATTTATGAATAAGGCAACAGCAAAAGTGCCGAGCCCACGTTAGCACAACGTAGTGACTGATTCCCAACACACGTTATTGCCTTCTCTCATCTTTACCTGGAATTAGCAATTTAGCATCCGTACCTTTATTTGGAAAATAATAGTACACACAGAAATATAAAAGTTTAATACGCGCTCAGTAAAATGAAAAATGAGTGGTTATGATATTGTCTAACACTTTCAAATGTGTTTATTAATTCATGTTTTAAATCATAAGTTTCATTCTGCAAGAGAGTCATACACGGCAATAAGCAACTTTTAAAATATTAATGAATAAACAATATTTCTCTATTGAAATATAACATGCTTCTTTGAACAATGTACCACCGGTAATAAATCACAACCAGCAGAAAATTGCATTTCATATTTAATACAACTTGAACTCTGCCTTTTTATAAATGATATCTTTTTTGTTTAATTGGCGTCAGTTCAGATCTAGCAGATTGCTAATAAAATTCTGGATTTCCATATTTAATGACGCGTGCTCTTGATGCTGAATTTTGCCACAAAAAATGCAGCTTTTTATTATCCTAATAGATGGCATTAATAGGTGATCTCGCATCCCGAGCAGCAGCCCCGTTCGCTCCCCCGAAGCCTCTCCTGGGCTCACGTAGGCAGGGCACGGCCATGTGTGCCCCATATGCACCCACGGCACCCCGACAGCAGCACGCACGCCTGCGCCCACGTTAGTCACCGCAGATACGAATGAAATTAATTGGCTTTAATTAGCCTGTGTAAACAAGATCCTTAAATTTGTTGCCACATGAGGGTTTTGGCAGTCTCCAATAAATTAATCCTTTTTATTATATCAGTGACAGAAAGATGATCAAATAGGCTTTGATACAGATTTTGGGATTTATCACCTAGCAGCACTCTTGATAGGCTTCAGCCTTTTTTTCCTGCTGCTGCTGCTGGAGGCAAGAGCCAGGCGAGAGACAGCGCTCGCTCCAGAGCCTGCTCGCGGGCGCAACGGGGGATTTGCCAGCAAACGGACGGGGGACGCCAGGGGAACTTTGAAGACAAGTTTGTCTTCGGGATTTGTTGGGAAAGTAGAGCTTTCCGTCGGCAGGGTGAGCAGGGAGGTGGGGGGGCAGCGGGGACCCTGCAGCC